AGGTGATAGATGTAATAATGGTACTAGAATATATCAGATATGACAGAGAGCAACCCTTCCTGTAATCATGTTTTATTTAATGAATGCAAATATCAGTTAAGAGCTGTCCACACACAAAGCAATGAGATAGTGAAGCTGACTTGTTTTGCCCTTTTTCAGAGTAGAAGGAAGTTCTATTTAGGAAGAGGTGAAAAAAGAAGGGTGTGGTTATTAAATATTCACAATAACCCAAAAAAACCCACCACGTAACCAAAGGATATTTTTCTTCTAAACTCGATGGTTTATGTTTCTTTGAAGATACATGTTTTATTTTCTTGCCTATGGAAGCTAAGAGACTTTCTCAGAAAAGATAAAAGGAAGCTGTTGGGATTTATTAGTGCATAAGGGTCTTTGTGTGTTTGTGCTGATCTGTTGTAGTGCTGTAGACTGCTGTTAGAAATTGAGCTAACAAGTGAAAAGCTGACTGGAATACCTATGCTATGTGTCCCCACACTTTCACTGAGGCTGAGATAAGCATGGCTTGAACTTGAGACTTTGAGTAGCTAACGTATTACCAGCTCTGCTGGTATTTGACTTTCCTTTTCATTTTTGAACACAGCACTGTGTTCCCTGTAGTTAAGAATTCAGCTGAGCAGTAATGCTGGAAAGGCTCTGAAGCTTAGCAGCAACAGGTGTGTTACAGGGGCTATGTCATGAACCACCTTCACTCAAAGTCTTTGTGAATCTTTGCTTAGATTTCAGCTACCTTTTGATTACTTCCAGGATCATGAGACACAAGCGAGAAGAGCATTTGTTGACAGTATTTGCCTTCTTGTAGTTCTTAGGTATTGAAGTTTTTGCTGCAGAATACAAGAATCCTGAAATGGAAAGAGTTGTTTTTTGGTCACTGGTCATGTTAGTATGAATATAATAGATACTTTACAGAAATCTTAAATAGATGCTTATCATAAAAGAACTCTTTAAATTCTTTTTTTCATGTGTTTCACAACTTGTTTCCAAGTTCTTATATTTGTAGTGATGTAATGAGAAGAGACTTTAAGCTGTAATGTGTATATGTAATGTGCTATGTAATTGTCGAGGGTTAGGGCTGGGCCAACCTCTAACACGGACAGACGCTCTCTAACCCCCTCTTCCCACCCCAAAATGGGAAGGAAAAGGGAATGAAGCAGAGAGACTTTCGGGTTAGAGAAGAAAAAAACTACAACAGCTTTAATGAAACAATAATAATAGAAAATAATAGTGGAATGATAAAAGTAAAGAACTGTACACAACTATAGATAATGGCCCGATATCAAACCCATCTCCCTCCCGTGATATCAATCCCTACTGATGCTGCAGAGCAGGAGGCACTGGGGAAGCCCCAGGCTGAGCGGCGGTGGGAGCTGGGTACAGCAGCTGGATTCGGGAACTCGGGATCTGGATCAAAAGCAGCAGGTCAGATGGAGTCCTCCCTGGACACTGGCCATTGCAGAAGAAGGGCAAAGAAGAGAAGGGCGAAAAGGGAAAAGAGAAAGTGCCAAAACTCTCGTGATCACTCAATTTATACTAAATATGACGTATATGGGATGGAATACTCTCGTTGGTCACCTGTCCTGTCTATTACCTCTCCCGGAGGTGCAACCTTTTACTTCCTTGTGACCCCTCTTACTACCCGGCACCCCCAGCGTGGCACACGAGAGCCAGCAGTGACCTTGGTCACTATAGGAATAAATATCAGCAAGAGCCTTTCTGCATCCCAGTCCCAGGCAGTAACTGTAAACATCAGGTGTTGTCACTGCCAGTAGCACACACTGTCTGCAAAAACATGCTGCTAACTTCAGAAAATATAGCCTTTTAGAAGACACTCAACTGAAAAGTAAAAATCACTAAACAGGACGGGGTTTTAGCTCAAACCCAGGACAATAATTTATGTCTTTAACTTCAGACTTTTCTACAAAGTGTTCAGAATTTCACTGGGAGTAAATATGTAACAGTTCCATTTTATGCAGGTTAAGTTGTGTCTGCGTGGTAGCACAGTGGAGCTGTGTAAAGACCAGAACTAGCATATTCCAGTGAAATGTCATGTAGACATACCTGTGATGTATTCAGTGTTTCAGTATTAGAATTTGAGACATGATGATTCCTGCTCTTATGTTTAAGCTGTTGTCTCTCTCGATACCTAGATCTAAAAATGTAACAGAGTAATTCTTCTACACGTGCAGCTGGGGGAGGAGGAAAAGTTGTGCTGGCTGAAACGCTAATTGCGTTCTCTTTCTTACAGAAAATGCCAGAAGCCTCAGAAGACCATAATCATCGGAAGGCCTGTTGACTTCCATTTTTTGGTAATCTGGAACATCATCCATCTGGCATGGCGCAGGGCGGTCAACAACTCGATGTGCAGGTACTCCATGATCTCCGACAACGTTTCCCTGAGATACCTGAAGGGGTGGTATCTCAGTGCATGCTTCAGGTACAGTATTTAAATGTCTGTGTGTTTCATTTTTATAGTATGAGGATTCTTTGTAGGAGTATACATGGAGTCTAGGTTTTCATTCTTCTGGTTTTATTTTGTTGTCCTGTCTTCTAACATACAAAGATTTTGGAATAAGGGCAGTGGCTAGTGGGATGATTATTGATGACAATTACAGAAATAATATAAATAATATAAATAATATAAACATATTGGAGGGGATTTTAGCAAACAGTGACTCATTCTTCTAAGATAAGAAATTTGCCTTAGCTTGGAATCTAGGTTTTCTGTCTTCATGGCATCTTTTTGCTACAACTGTCCAAAGGTTTATTTTTACTTCTGTTTCCAAGTCAGGTGGCAGGGTTGTTTCGTTTTTTTTGTTGTTTTCCTGGGGTTTTTTAACTTTTTCCATTTCATCCTTCCACCTTCATCTAAAATCACAAATTGGAAACAGTAATAAGTGACCACATATAATCATTTTTCAAAGTCATGGCAATCTGGGAATATCTTCTGTCAACGGGAGGATTGAGGAGTGAAATACAGACATGTAAGATCTGATTTGGCTTTGTGTGGCCATGGCTAGGGTGGAACCTAATGTGATAAACTGCTGCATATGAAAGCAGTGATATTTACATCCTACCTATTCCTTGCAGAAGAGTAGGTTTGCTTATAACTGTGGCTGTAATTTTTGCATTGTGTGTCTTCTAAACCATACAAATATGAATGAATTGCTTTCAGACAAACATGAAATTATGAATGTATGTGATGTTCTCTATCTATAATACAGTGCTCTGGATAGCTAGTTAACATTACACTTCAAAAAAACTGACAGATATTTGCAGTGTAAAATTTGTTTCCAAACCCCCTTTGTATTTAAGATATACACAAGTTGGTTTCTATTAACCTTTTGCAATACACACTCACATTTAAACCAATGTGAATTTTGGACCTAACAAAAATGACAAATGATAAATGTATTCCATACCCTTAAATAACCAGATTAGGGCCTGTTTTATCTCTGTTCTCTCTGTCTCCACCCTGATGAAGTGCCCTAAGGACTCTCTCTATGAAGTTCTGTTTAGAGGGCAAGTGGCTGATGGGACCAGTTAACTTTTTGAGACTACTGTCTTGGCACTGTGGTGCTCATTATTATTACAGGGTCTGGTTCCCGTATGGTCTGATTTTAAGTTGTTCTGTGATGTGCCTGGGTATCCCACTGAGGTCTAGAAGGGGAGCTTCTCATGAAGGGGAAGTGGTCAAGGAGAAGTATCTATGGAGTGAGAACCATGCGTAATGAAGTGCTGGAGTCTTGTCTTTTGTCATGTTAAGTAGGAAGTCTCCATCTGAAGAGATGCTGAATATTTATGTTCAACTGATAGTGAAATCATATGAAATTTTGGTAAAGCCACCTTCACTTTAGTGTTAAGACTGACTGTGTATCAGTCCTTTAGAAAAGAAATGTTAACTGTGACTTTTCAACCACTGGATAGACTGTTGAAAACTGTTTTGCAAGGCCACATGAATATTAATACTTATACAAATTTTGTATCGTCATAGTGTTTAAAATAGAAGTGAAACAATTATTAATGTGTATTCCTTAGAATGGTAAGGTTATCACAGTAGGAAAGGCGAGGGTGGATGTGTGTGTGTATATAATGGGTACACACTGGTTCTGGTAGGAGGTCCTGTATGTCACAGAGGGTACCAGCCTTGAATCACACGTAACAGTCAGTGTGCTGAGGGCCAGATGTAGTTGAACTTAACTTTAAGTGAAATTTTTTTTTCTTTAGCTACTGTTTAAATTACAAACTGAATTATGGCTGACAGTTTGAGAAACTGGGAGAAAAAAAAAAGTAAATCTGCAATTGGGAATGCTTTCCAGTGATTTTACTCTTGGATAAGCTATCATCTGTGTCATTCTTTTAACAAGACTAGATTAGCTAAAATGGGAGTGGAAGAAGGGAAAGGGATTTCCCCATTATAGTTTGATTCATCATTTAATATCTGTATAGTTTCAGCTGCTGGCACCACAGAACAAACATTTACAGGAGTTATTTGGTTTCCTCACTAATGTACAAATAAACCTCTTTTTAACCTTGAGCCTGAAAGTCCTAAAGGCAGTTGAAATATGTCAGAATTTGTCAAGTGCTTTGTTGAATTTTTTATAGCAATACTTATTCTGACTTCATTTTTAAGGCATTAAATTCTGCTCTATCAAGAGAAGCTGGTTTAAAATGTTGGGGCTTTTAAACTTTCAGGTAAAGAGAAATACTCACATAAGCAGTAAAATAAGGTGAAAACATCAAACACTCAGGTAAACGCTGAAATGTCATCTGGATTTTTGACTTCACTTTCCAGAGCTTTCAATTTTTATGTGCTTCAAATTTATTTGTGGTGTTATTAGCAGCTAATTGTACATACCCATTCCTTGCAGATGCTAAGAGTTCTAACCATTGCTTTCCCCAAAACCAGACTTTATTTTTTTGATATGTCATACTGTGGGTAGCATCACCATAGCATTTTGCTAGATGCAGCTTGAGCTGCGTACTACTTGCGTACTGTGACTTGTAGGTATTACCTTTATTTTAGAATTCCTTTCTGTGAAATGTTACCCCTAGTTGTGTCCAAGCTAGGCTTGATTGCCACTTCTGCTGAACACTGAGTGGTGGCTTTTTCTTTTTGCTGTTTGACGCTAACAGGTGTCCATTCTTACTCCTAGAACAACAACAACCTAGATGCCTGTTGTCGAGCCCTCGCACAGGAGAGCAACAAATACTTATATATGGAGTACCATAGCCCTGATGACACCAGAATGAATAGAAACAGCCTTTTGCACATTAATCTGGGTATTCATCCTCATACTAGCTATCATGCAGGGGATGGAGCTCAACTTAATGGTGGTCGTACACTGGTACACAGTTCAAGCGATGGACATATTGATCCACAACGCACAGCAGGTAAACAACTGATATGCTTAGTTCAAGAACCACATTCTGCTCCCGCTGTTGTGGCAGCTTCTCCTAGTTACAATCCATTTTTCATGAATGACCAGAATAGAAATGCAGCTACTCCTCCTCCACAGCCACCTCCACAACCATCTTCCATACAAACAGGAATGAACACGTCTGCTATGCAAGGCCCTCCTCCCACGTATATGCACATACCTCGGTACAGTACAAATCCCATTACTGTTACAGTATCACAAAACCTCCCCTCTGGACAGAGTGTACCCAGAGCTCTACAAATTCTTCCACAGATTCCAAGCAATCTTTATGGGACTCCTGGCTCTATTTATATAAGGCAAACATCTCAAAGTTCTTCAGGACGACAGACTCCTCAGAATACGCAGTGGCATTCGTCGCCACAGGGCCCAGTTCCGCATTATACTCCCCGTCCTCTACCTGTGTATCCACACCAACAGAACTACCAACCTTCTCAGTATTCTCCTAAACAACCCCAGATCCCTCAGTCAGCTTTTCGATCGCCGCCAGCATCCCAGTGTCCCTCTCCCTTTGGCTCTCCTCAGCACCAAGTTCAGCCTCCTCAGATGGGACATCAGAGTTCACATGTTTTCATGCCTCCTAGCCCCTCAACTGTCCCACCCCATCCATATCAGCAAGCATCCCAGACTTTTCAAAAACAAGGCAGTCACTCTGTGTCGTATCTTCCGCCTTTCGCTGGACCTAGTTTGTCCAAAGGTTCCATGAATAAAATAGAAATTACAGTTGAGCCACCACAAAGACCTGGGACTGCAATGAACCGAAGTCCTTCACCGATAAGTAATCAACCATCTCAACGAAACCAGCACTCACTGTATACAGCCACTACTCCTCCTTCGAGCTCTCCGTCCAGAGGTATGTCGGGTCAACCCAAACCTCCATTTAGCGTTAATCCGGTATATATTACCTACACTCAACCAACTGGACCTGCAGGTGCACCAACGCAGTCTCCTCGGGTAATGGTATCTCAGCCAAACCCAACCATTTTTAAAATCACAGTAGGTCGAGCACCGACTGAGAATCTTTTAAATTTAGTGGACCAAGAAGAGCGTTCTGCAGCACCAGAACCTATTCAGCCTATTTCTGTAATCCCAGGATCCGGAGGAGAAAAAGGAAGCCATAAGTATCAGAGAAGTTCTAGTTCTGGATCAGATGACTATGCTTACACTCAAGGTAAATATTTCACCCTGAATTATTGTAAAATGCATTTTCAGCTTGATTTTGCTACTTACCAAGTGAGAGGTTTTAAAACTGTGCAGAGGAGAATAGAAATTGCACCAAAAATCAGCTAATGAGAGAGTGTTCTGATTTTTTTTTTTAAAATTGCCAAATTTCAGTCAAATAATTTCTGAGGTTCTTGAAGTTGCAATACTTTTGAAAGTAGGGGAGTTTCTTAAGAAGAAGACGTTGCAGCTAACACAAGTAAGTGGTTTGCCCGCATACTGTCTGTGTCCGGTTTGTAAATTCCACATTGAAGAACTGTGTCATGAATTTGCACGTGGATATAATTTTTTGTATTTGTTTCTTACTTGAGTGCTTTATAAAATCTGAGGCACTAACTTCTGCAGGGAATTTGAATCCAATTTATTTGGTTTAGATTGAAGAGTATTAAGTGAAAGAGGAGAGAGAGGTGGGGTTGCAGTTAAAATTACTTTCGGTGTCAGTATAAATCATGGTTTTGTTTTGAAAGGTTTTAAAAGTAATTATTTTGAAAAACTTAGTCTAAGTTCATTTGCTTCACTTAGTTTTTGAAGAGGAGGTAGAGATCGGCTGACAAAATTTGTGTGTTCTGCTGCATAGAGATAGAGCATAGTTAGCCTTAGTAAAGGAAGGATTAAGTAACTTAATTAAAAAAAAAAGGGAAATTTTACCTTTAGCTGAAAACTACTTTTCTCAGAGTAATCTGATTTATAGATTTGAAATGTTTAGAATTGAGCAAATGAATCAATCTTCAAGCATTCAAAGCAATCATTTGGGATAATGACAGAATGATAATCAGCAGCAAATATTTAAAGTATGTGTTTTATTTCTGGATTTGTGTTTGGAAAAGAGAGTCTATTCCACCATTGGTCCTCGTAGCCTTCCTCTTGCTTTAGACAGCTGAAATAATGGTTGTAGTGCTGCCCTGGAGTTCATGATTTCTTATTTGTCTTTGTCTTTTGAGCTTTTCTAGCTCATCAACAGTGAGCTGTTATGTACCTGGTAGACCCAATTAGAAATGTTATTTATATAGAGAGCGATCGCTAATAGGTGTGTAACTCGTAGGCAATATGCTCTGTTTGGTGGTGTTCTTATTGCAGCTTCATTAAAGATTGTCAGTTACATGAGAAAACTATACGTAGCTTCACAATTTGAGAAAAGTGTGTTCTGAAATGTAGAGATATGGCTTTGACTTTGTGTCTTTGATTTGTGTATTTGGAAAACAAGACCAATAAAACTAGTTAGTATGTGCTTTTGGGGGAGTATCTGATTTTTGTGGCAATACGTACCAGAGGTGAGACTTCATTAGCTTTGGTGAGGCCGCACCTTGAGTACTGTGTCCAGTTTTGGGCCCCTCACTACAAGAGGGACATTGAGGTGCTGGAGAGGGTACAGAGGTGGGCTACCAAGCTGGTAAAGGGCTTAGAACATAAATTGTATGAGGAAAGGGTGAGGGATCTGGGGCTGTTTAGCCTGGAGAAGAGGAGATTGAGGGGAGACCTCATTGCTCTCTACAGCTACCTGAAAGGACATTGTAGAGAGGCGGGGGTTGGTCTGTTCTCCCAAGTGGTGAGTGATAGGACAAGGGGAAATGGCCTTAGGTTATGCCAGGGGTGGTTCAGGTTGGATATGAGGAAGAATTTCTTTACTGAGAGGGTTGTCAGCCATTGGAACCCGCTGCTCAGTGAGGTGGTTGAGTCACCGTCCCTGGAGGTGTTTAAGAGATGGGTGGATGTTGTGCTGAGGGACACAGTTTAGTGGTGTTGACAGGGCTAGGACAAAGGTTGGACTTGGTGATCTTGAAGGTCTCTTCCAGCCAAAACTGTTTTATAATTCTATTATGTTGGGTATTGCTGCACCCTGGACTCTTGACAGATATAAATTGTAAAGGAATAAGCATTATATTTATTGCTACCACAAATGAGTCCCAGTGAAGACCATGTTTAAGAGCTTAATATAGGGAACAAGTTTATTTCATTTTCTTTTGAGTATGAGTCACTGTGTAAAGTGTTACTAAAAATCCATTCTGGTGTCTGTACTTCGACTGTTTCTTTGTATTGTGAGTCATGTTTGATGAGTTGTACTAGAGTATAATGTGAAACTATGTAATGTAGTCATATCAGATGTTCAGTGAGAGGAGTCACATAAAGACAAGGTTTAATAGTAAAGGTGGAAAAGTCATGCAGCCTGGCATCTGTACTTTTTTTTTTAAAATCTTTTTTTTTAAGATCTCTTAAACTCATCTTCAATGACTTATGCTACTTCAAAAAGTAGAGAACAGTTTTTTTCAGTAATATTGGTGCCTGTGTCATAAAAACATCTGATGTTATTCTTGGATAGGCTTTTCAGTGTTTATTTTTTGTCTGTGTAGTGGTGGATCCATACAAACCCCAAAATGTAGTGCAACATTTTTGTACAAAATACTGACATCTGATAAAAGCACTATCATTTCTATACTCCTGACTGCTGCTGGGCTTTTTTTTTTAAATGTCCTTCCCCAGTAGACTGTGTCATGTGTTGCTTGTTTTTCTAATTTTTTTGGGGGTACTGTGCAAGTATTCTTGAGATATTATGTAGGTTTTCTTTGCCTATGTTGGATAGAGGTAGAAAAAGGGCAGGTGGAGGCTAGTGCTTTGTATGAAATAGCATTTAATTTAATTTTGCAGATTCTACATCTTCATGTATTTGAACAGATTACTGGAACATTATTATATGAACAGTGTGCTTGTCTGAATACCCATGGCAAATTTATCTTTTTTTTTTCTGTCCTAGTAGAGTTTAATCAGGCAAAACCAGCCAGATTAGAAAGTGCTATGCATCACACTAATTAATTCGGCCAGTTTTTCATCATGACAAAACACTGGAAAAGGCACTCTTTGCAGAAACTGGGTGTTACGGTTCAGGCTGACTGGGACAAAGAATCACATGGTCTTCAGCTCTCTCCTCCCTCTACCCCTATTTCCACAGTGATGTGGAGGGAGACAATTCAACTAAAAAGGCTCAAGGGTTTGAGATTAAGGATAGGGAGGGTAATAATCTACCATTTAAGATGACAAGTAAAGAACCAGAGAGACTTGGTGAGAAAAACATAGATTTAATTCACCACCATCATTTACAAAGTAGGATAGTGAGAGGAATACATCAATAAATATGACCCGATCTTAAATACACTTTGCCCCCCCACCCCTCTCATCTTCCCAGCTACCTCCTCACCCCCATCAGTGCAAGGGAGGCAGGGATTTGGGGGGCAGTGCATCTGGCCATTACTCATTGTCCATGGCAGCTCCTCCTTGAGAAAGAGGGCTCCTCGCAGTCTCTCCTTCCTGCTGTGTGGTGGCCACCTCACAGGAGGCAATCCTCTGCCTCCTTGTGAGTCCCTTGGGGCCATGAATCACTTCTGGCACGTCACCTGCTGATGTTCTGCACGTACCGATGCATCTTGGAAGTTCTCACTGCTGTCAGTCCCCCCAACAGGCAGGCAATCACCTTCCTGCCATCTCAACCACCACGTGTCCAAGGGAAAGGTCCTGCTCTGGCAGCCTTCTCTCTCTCCTACTCTGAGACTCTTCTCCCCCTTTATTTTTCTCAGGGTGATATTCCTTTGTTGTCCTCTCAAGTCCTCCTCCTTCAACAGAAAAACTCCCCAACATTAAAGCCAGGACAGCTCAAAACAAGACAAAACCAAAAGAGAGAGAAAGAACACTGGGGTCGCCTCTTATATACCCTGATGGCAGAGGCACTGATTGGCCTGGCCCTGGCCAGAGGCAGGTCCAACTCTACCTGGGGGTGGGGGAGGCTCTTGAAGTTTCTCACGAGTCTACCCCCATTTTTTTACAAAAAGCCCATCAAACCCTTGACACTGGGTATTATTATTATTATTATCAACTGTATTGTGGAGTTAAAGACTTAAGCACGTGAGCTGCCACCATTTTTTGTTTTCTGGGTTCTCTAGTTCATTTTAATGAAGTTCTGTAGTTTTGCCTTTGAGCATTTGGGGAATTATTACAGTACTCTGAAAAGCTAAGACTGTGTAAAGTTATGACAGCATAATCTATAATAGCAGTGACAGAAACAATTCAGGACTGACATTTGGCTAAGGTCTCAAGGCTAGCGTGGCAGCTAGTGTGTCTTGCCTTCTGATCTGACCTCTGCTATTTTTATTTATTTTTTTTATCAGTACAGTATTAATATAACTAGGTTGCTGTTTCATCCTGAGAAGCTCTCTCCTTGTACAGGTGCCTTTGTATTTTTGAGACGAGAAAGACCAAATGCAAAAAAAGAAGCTTTGACCAAAATGGTAATATTAACTTCAAGTTACTGTCTAAAATGTCTTTTTTATTCTGGAAAAACTATGTTCTAAATTGTAGTTTATATGGCATGAAAGCATCTTCACACTATTTGGCTGCATGTTTATGATCACTTTTTTTTTCCCAGAAAGGTCACTAATGAATCTTACACATAAGTTAAGAATTTGGTTTTCCAGGTTTCTGTGTGTTAGTAACTGTTTCTTCCATGTAAAACATTAGCCTTGCTGTTACATCAACGAGCGAGGATGGAGAGATTAGCAAAGGAACTGAAGCTTGAGAAAGAAGAGCTCGAACGCCTGAAAGCTGAAGTCAATGGTATGGAGCATGATCTAATGCAGAGGCGGCTTCGGAGAGTTAGCTGTACAACTGCAATTCCAACAGTAAGCAATTTGTTAGTATTTTAATTCAAGATACAAATTTATTTTTTATATTGTCATGAACTAAAGTATTATACAAAAACCATTTTGGTGAATAAAATATTTGAAGGTGATTTTTTTTTTTAAGTTCTTGATTTGTAAACCAGTTTTCGTAATTTCAGAAGCAGTTACATATCCAGCTTTCACAGTGTGCACAACAATATTTCTGAAACCTGTGTACACGTGCTTTTCTGGAACACAGAACTGAATAGATAATTACTTTCCTGACAGCCTATAAAAGTGTATGTCCAAGTCCATTTAAAGAATCTGAGCCGTATACAGCTTGGTGTTTGTGAGCAAGGTTTCATATATTTTTTCAAAAGGTATTCTTTCTGTTTGAGTAGCTGCATCTGATAGACAACCTATTTCCCATTTGATGCGTGCAGGATGTGCCAAGTACTTTTCAGTGGTGATGTTGGCTCAAATAGTTGGCACCTCTCTCCTTTTCCTTATTGATTCTTCCTGTTAGTGTGACTTTCTACCTGCAGGTGACTCTGACCCAAGAATAACTGACTGAAGAATAACTTCCACTTTTTGCAGTTGTTAGCCAAATCGATTTGGACTTACTGTGTTGACGTTAACAATGCAAACAGACATAGGCTGGAAGACCTACTATAGGGCCTGTTAGCTGCTTAACTAGTATGGCTGCTTGGTATCTCTTCTGTCTCAGGACAGTATTAGGCAGGCATGCTCCTGGGAAGAATAAAGACTTGCTGTCTGAGTGTGCAAAGATGAGGTGAGGAAAGCCACAGCCCAGCTGGAGTTGAATCTGGCTTGGGATGTCATAGACAGAAAGAGAAGCTTCTTTTAGTACATAGGTGGCAAAAGGAGGACTAGCAAAATATGGGTCTCGGTACCCACATGCCTTTGAGAATCCTGAGTCCCAAAGACCCTGGGAAAAGTGTGGAGCAAGGAAGGTGTGCCCTTGGTGGAAGAGGATCAGAATACCAAAGCAAAGCAGACATACTCGAGTTTATGGTCCTGGATGGACACACGCACAAGTACTGAGGGACCTTACAGATGCCATTGTGAGGCCACTCTATCTTTGATAGATTATGATGTTTAACAGAAGTGCCTGAAAACTGTAGGAGAGCAGTTGTCACTCCTGTCTTTAAGGAGGACCCAGGGAGCTACAGGCTGGTCACCTACCAGCTCCCTTAATCCCTATGAAAGTGATGGACCAGCTAATCCTGGAGACTGTTTCCAGGCACGTGAAAGACAAGCAAGTGCTCAGCACTAGTCAGTATGGATTTGTCAAGAGGAAGTCAAGCTTGGCCAGTTTGATAAGCTTCTAGGATGAAAAGACTCTACTGATAGATGGGACAGCAGCAGTTACTGTCTATTTAGACTTCATTAAGGCTTTCATTGTTGTCTCCTGTAAGATCTTCATACAGAAGCTGATGAAGCATGGGCTGCATGAGCACACAGTGAGGTGCATTGAAAACTGGCTGAACAGCCAGGCTGAGAGTGTGATAATTGGTGGCACAAAGTCTGTTTGGAGGCCCATAGCTAGCACCGTGCCACAGTGGTCAGTACTGGGTCTTGAATCTTTTTTAACGTCTCTAGTGCTCTGAGTGATGGAGCAGAGTGTACCCTCAGCAGCTTTGCTAATGGCACAAAAGCAGGAGGCACGTGCTGCCATTCAGAGGGACCTCAAAAAGCTGGAGAAATGAGCTGACGGCAACCTCGTGCCATTTGGCGAGGGGAAGTGCCGAGTCCTGCACTTGCAGAGGAACAACCCTGTGCACCAGTATAAGTTGGGGACCAACCAGCTGGAAAGCAGCAGTTCTGTAAAAAAGGCCCTGGTGGTCCTGGTGGAGACCGAGCTGAAAATGAATCAGCAGTTTGGCAATGAAGGCACAATATATCTGGGACCGCATTAGGAGTGTTGCCAGTAAGAGAGAGAAGTCAACTTTCCCTTTTATTCAACACTGTCGAGGCCACACGTTTGGAGTATGTGGAGTATGATTATTTGTACATATATGTTAATAATCACTGCTGCTAGCACTAGGAGCACTTTGCATTCCAGTAACTTAGGGCTTCTTAATGATATGCAAAATATGGACCTAAATAATTGAATCTTCCATAAGAATAAATCTGTCTTGCATCATTAAACAATTTAAACATACTGGACTAGAAGATTTGGCATGTTGAAGCTCCTTGGGGTGATGCGAATAAATAAACTTCTGACCTGATGCAGTTGTTATAATCGAGTAACAATTAATGTATGCTGCAACTCATATTCTGTTCCCTGATCATCTTGCTGTAAACTCATGTAGTAAGCCATCAACTGATACGGAATTTTGTAAGGTGTATGCTTTTATAAACTTGAGCTCAGCTATGCCTTCTTACTAATGACTTTTAATATTAAGTTTTTCAGTTTCTTGTTTTGGTTTCCTCCAAATGCCAATCGAAGAATGTTTTCTAAGGGAGTAAATTGGAAAGGGGGAATAGGACAGACAGTAGAATCCTGGTTGTTTTTTTTGGTGCCTTGTCTGTAGTCTGTTTCTAATAAAGCTGTTAATGATACAGCAATGTTATTTCTGTGTCATGTAACATGCTGATTTTTCCCACAATTACTATTTTGTGTTGTTTCTTTGTAGCCTGAGGAAATGACCAGATTAAGAAGCCTCAACAGACAGCTCCAGATAAATGTTGACTGTACACTGAAAGAAGTTGATCTCCTTCAATCTAGAGGTATGGAATGGATAGGGTTTTTAAAACATAATTTAGATATGAGCAGGAGTGTTGATCTGCATGAGGGTAGAAGGTGTTTCCGATGGATCTGGACAGGCTGGATCAATGTGCCAAGGCAAACTGCATGAGGTTCAACAAGATCAAGTGCCAGGTCCTGCGCTTTGGTCACAACAACGTCAGGCAAAGCTACAGGCTTGGGGAGGAGTGATTGGAAAGCTGCCCAGCAGAAAAGGGCATGGGGGTCTTAGTTGACAGCCAGCTAAACATGAGCCAGCAGTGTGCCCAGGTGGCCAAGAAGGCCAATGGCATCCTGGGCTGTGTCAGAAACAGTGTGGCCAGCGGGACCAGGGAAGTGATTGTGCCCCCCTGTATTTGGCCCTGGTGAAGCTACACCTTGAATCCTGTGTTCAGTTTTGGGCCCCTCACAACAAGAAGGACATTGAGGTGCTGGAGTGTGTCCAGAGAAGGGCAAAGAAACTGGTGACAGGTTTAGAGAACAAGGCTTGCGAGGAGCAGCTGAGGAAACTGAGGCTGTTTAACCTGGATGGAGAAAAGGAGGCTGAGGGGAGACCTTCTCACTCTCTACAACTACCTGAAAGGAGGTTGTAGCGAGGTGGGTGTTGATATCTTCTCAAGTCGCAAATGATGAAACAGGAAGAAATGTCCTCAAGTTATTCCAGGGGAGGTTTAGAGTGGATATTAGGAAAAATTGCTTTACTGGAAGGGTTGTGAAGCACCGGAAGAGGCTGCCCAGGGAACTGGTGGAGTCTCCATCCTTAGGGGTATTTAAAAGACGTGTAGATGTGGTGCTCACTTGACAGTGCTGAGTCTACAGTTGGACTCGGTGATCTTAAAGGTCTTTCTAATCTAAATAATTCTACGATTCTAATATAGTATATGCTTAAATGTGCACACCTGGATTCTTTAAAGTATAATTTTGATTATCGATACCTACTTACCTCTAAAAGCTTTTTTTTTCAGTTGAAACCTGACAAATTTCACTTGCTAATATTTCTGTTGGCCAAATTAAATTACACTACCGGGAAAGTTATGGTTTCAAACTACTTCAAGGTCAAATTTAAAAAAAAAAACAAACAAACAAACAAACAAAAAACCACACAAACAACAAACTCCTTGGTGAAGGATCTTTACTTAAATCTTTAGCATTTTGCTGACAAAGGCTCTTACGAAGTAATACAACGGAGTTACAGGTTGCAACCAAGAAGCTGGCAGACAAATCTCTTTAGGATTTTTAAAACTCTCTTTCTGCAACAGAAGATTGACATAATACAATCAAATAGATTAGAATATGCACGTTCCTCCTTTTTTAATCAAGAATGTGTCCTACAGAAAGTTTTATTTTTTTGCATATTTGTAAAGCAATACAAAACGTTGAGCTGGAGTTGATTCTTCAGTATGAGATTAGCTTGCTAACAATTACTAGAATGTACACAAAACTGAAAATACATGACAAAAGACAACTTGGGAAAAAGCTAATATATAATACCATAATAAAAAGGCGTATAAAATCTGAGGCCTCTGGATGTTCACATCACTGGCATAGACATGAAACTAACCTTTGATCTACACTTTCTTACTTTTCTGACAGGGAACTTTGACCCGAAAGCCGCATGTAATTTCTATGATAACATAGAACCTGGTCCTGTTGTGCCACCAAAGCCATATAAAAAAGGTAGGTTAGCAAACAGACATCGAGTTATGTAATCTGCATTGAGAAAGCTTTTTTTTTTTCCTTTCTTTTTAATGACCCTTGTGATGACAAAAAGAAATTCTAATTATTAAAACTGTTCACTCCGTATAAATGAAAACAGAACATTTTTATCTAAGTGCAGTAGTTGTGGCTACAACTTGTTTTCCTTGGGCAGGTTGTTGCAAATGAATGCTCTGCTAATGTGTTGTTTGTAAATACTGTTACTGTTAGAAAAAGAGTTCAAAGTATTCAAAGTTTTATGTGGTAACTCGAGCTTCCAAATGATGTTGGATTTTTAAAATACTTTCAGGTTAAAATCTCTGTCAGGTTTCTTTAGTTGTCTTCTAGTACATGTTGCTGTGGAGTCTCCTTCTCTGGAGACGTTCAAGGCCCACCTGGACGCGTTCCTGTGTGACCTCCTCTGGGTGATCCTGCTCTGACAGGGGGGCTGGACTAGATGATCTCTAGAGGTCCTTTCCAACTCCTGACATTCTGTGATTCTGTATTAGGATTTCATAGTTTAGTTGGGATCTTTTATGCAAGTTTAGTTGGTCACAGCAACTTTTTAAAATGGGCTTTTATATTTTTCATTTTATTTTAACTTGAGTGGTCACACTTCATCTATTTTTTTTATGTGTGGAGTATGAATTTTGCAGTAGCCCTGAATTCTTTGCACAAGCTTCAGACTTTTTAAGGGCCAAGACGGAACACATGTCCTCAGATGAGTCTGAAACGACAGCGTCCCACTTGCACAAGTTCATTACTGGTTTCTAAAATTTTTTGTGGCCAATTGCATAGTATCTAGGATTCATATCCAACTTAGGACACTTGAGCTTTACGTAAGGGCAGGAACAATGTATTTATCTTGTTTTTTGTCCAGTGGAGATCCTGTCAGTATGTCCTAGGGTGACTCAACTCGTCCTGAGCACACAGTTGGTGGACGTGTGCAGATCAGTAGGTCCCTGAACTGGTGATTTTGGAACAGAATCCTCTCTTAGGTTGTTTTGGACCTTTTTCTTCCCCCTCCCCCCTTCTTGAATTCTTTTAGAAGAATGGTTTCAAATGCTAGTGAAAGTTTTTAAACACTGTATGGAACAGCTGGTCTGGGATCCTGTGATCTGATATAGTGAAAACAGTGGTCTCTTCTCTGGAAATGTTGTGTGAAAGATTTATAATATTGTGTCTCCTCTTAGTGTAACTAGCATAGTACTAAAAGTGTTAGTGGAAAAGAACTCTTCTGAATCAGTAATCGTATAGTCTGCTTGAAAATCCGAATTTTGTAAATAAGTTTTAGTTGCTGATGAGCACTTTACAAAGTTATTCTGCAGTTGAATTTGGAATTTGTATAAGGAGATTTTGCCTTTTCTCTTGAAGAACATATTTTACTCTTTGATGCAATAAAATGGTTAGTATGTGATAATTTAAAAGAAGGAAGAAGGCCTCAAACTTCTGGTCATGATTCAAAAAAACCCAAACCAATGCTGGGATGAGTTCCCTGCATAGCTGGTAGTGTCCAGGAAAGACGGCAGCAGCAGGTGAGCAGTGGCATGAAGGCAGCTGCCTGGATTCATGTTAAATTGCAGTGGTCATGTAATGAACTGTAGGCATGGCTGCTTCATGATGCTTGAAGACTTGCTCGTAATTACACTAACCTATTTGATTTAGTATTTCAGAGCAAAATAACATGCAAAACTCGCATGAAATAAGTGATTTTATTTGGCAGTTGGAAGGATGGTAATCCTTATAAGGATTTCTGTGACTTCTATGAGTGGGTTCCTGGTTTTGCCTGTTAACTTGTTAGAGATGAGTTTTAAGGCTGGCGTACTGTATTGGGAGCTTGGCTTTAACATGGAGCCATCATGTTTATTTTTTTGTTTAAAAAAAAAATAGTTTTCCTTAATATTCAGCTGTTGAAGGCATGGGCAGACAGACAGGTATGGGCAGACAGGTCAACATGAATTCAGTTTGATGCTGGTACCACTTGCTTGCTTGCCATACCACTTGTGCAGGCCAAGTACTGTTCATGTGACTACGCAGCTTCTGGACTGGAGAGGGTTTACATCTAAGCAAGGAAGTTATTTTTCTTTGAGTATGTCTGAAGACAAATCTAAGTACTATTTGCACTAACTTTGTCATCAACCATCTGCTAGATTTCTTAGCAGATGACAGCAATGTGTACACTTTGAATTACAAATTGCAGTCCTTTTTTAGAATGCAAGTTCTTTTTTAATTAAGCTGTTTAACAGATGGATATCTTAACCTTACCCTCTAGATATGGGTGCTAACGTTATTTCATATGTTAACATTTTGTAAAACATGGTGTTTCCGCATCCCAGGAATATTTGTCACTTCTATTAGCTAGCCTGAGGTCTTCAAGGAGACGTCGAAAAACCAAATCTTTCTGAGGGTTAATACCTAACATATGATTTTCATACATATTGTTTTTATGAATGAAAACAGACTTAAGTGCTGCTTCACATACATATGTTTCTCCTGCAAAGCCATGAGAAAAAAAAAATCTTATTTTGAAACAGGCCTAAAATTTTATGTTATATTTTCTTCAGTCTGGATAAATGCTAGAAAGTGATGCAGAAAATACATCATCTGTCAGACTGTTTGAAGGAACTAAGTTAGAAGTAATCTTTTGCTTTGAGTAAAGCAGGGTTATTGGAATTTAGAATTTAGGAATAGACTGCTGTATGTAAACTTAGGAAGTCATTCCTTAACAGGATGGTGGTGCAGTGCTAGTAAGAAACTTTTTAGTATGTTTTGAATTACTAAACCTTTAGCAGTATCAGTGACCACGAGTGGTGACTGCTATTTTTGTTTATAATGTAGTACGGTTAAGTGGTTCTTCACAGAAGTGAAATACTTTAAATGTTCAACCTGAATTAGAAGTGCTTTAGTAAAAGACTGTTAACGTTACCTAACTGGAAAGGTTTCCATGTTTGTTTTGAGATGGAACATTTAATGAGGTGACAAGCCAGTAGTATGATCTTGCCTGTCATCATCCTTCTCTACTGAAATAAGAATAAATGTTTTCCTTTGGCTCCCTGTAGAGCATCAAAACAGCTCCAAACAGACTCCACGGACTCAACCAAGAGATGAAGACTTCGAAGGGGCTCCATGGAATTGCGACAGCTGCACCTTTCTAAATCACCCAGCACTAAATCGCTGTGAGCAGTGTGAAATGCCACGATACACCTGAAAATTAGGAAGGGGCTGCGTTGGGTTGAAAACGGGCACTCGAGCCGACAGCTGTAGGAGAAGGAAACATGGGGAACCTTTCAGTCCATCTGCTCGGCCTTTGCCAGTCAACAGTCTTCATATTGCAAGGGGTGGGAGTAATGTGTTAAGATATTTCTGCTTGTGCTACACTAAAGATAAATAGATTAAGGGTGAAATTCTTTCCTATCCCATTGCGGTGAGCAAAGCAGAAAATGAAACCTGGAAATGTAAAAGGATTAATTTTGGGAAGAATGTATACAGGAATGCAAATAACTACTGGTGTTTAGTCCTGTGGTTATAGTTACTGCTTAGTGGCTCTAAAAAAAAATATTTTTTTTTTAAAAAAAATAGGACTCTTAGTACTGGTGTGAAATGTTACACTTAACCAGAAAAACTGAAGAGCCAGAGCTGACTTAAGCTGGCCACAGCTAGCTGGAAAACAAAGGCTCCCTGTGCTTCTAGATTGTAAGCTACTGAAAAAGAAGACAGGTAAATGTAATGATAAATTTTGCAATGTATACAAAATATGGAAAAGGGTGTCTGTAATTGCTGCTTTTTTTTCAGGGTAACTTATGTCTACAAAAAATTGCTGTTTGAAATAGTAACCTAAGGAGACTAAATGAGATACTGTGTTACAGAGGGTTTAATTTGAGGTAATCTTTTACAATCCCTTTTGCTTGTACAGTGCTCACCTGGCTGTGTCAACACTGGTAATAAACTAAGAATGAATTCTACCATGTTACGACTGAAAACACCGCTGCATGCTTTCATTAGGCCGTCGTGTTTCAGAGCTAAAAGTATGCTTTTATATACAACAATCTCCAAAGCCTGTGCTCTCTAGTAGCACAGAGACATATGCCAAACACAGACTCCTCCAAATTTGGTTTGGAAGTCTTGATCTCAGCCATGGTTGTGCATGAGAAGAGTTTGTACCCAGTTCCTTAGGCCTTTTCAGCTTCCAATTTGTGAAGAATTCATGTTTACAGCACAGAAGGTACTTTGTGCCCCAGTTCAAAGTTAGCTGAAAAATAATTAATCAATCAGCTCTTCAGTAAAGGTTTATTTGCACATTGTTAATCAACCAGCCTGTATAAAATAGCAGATGCCAGATCCTGCAAAGTGACACACTGCGTTCTTCTTATTATGGCCGGGAAGTATTTGCCATAGGTTGAAGAACACAAGACTTGCAGCTGAAAAATCATACTGGTACTTTCATGCATACGATATGCTGTATTATAAAGGTGATGTTCAATTTGTTTGAATGCTTCAGGTTGCTGTAATAAAGCACTCGATACTTGTGAAATCCAACTTGGGCTTGGGCAGCCAAATGATTATGTTACACAACTGTGCGACTGAGTAGGATGTTGTCTTGTACCAGTCAGAAGCTGGTACAGTGCATTTTAGGTTTTAAGGTATAACTTTGTCAAGACTCAGAGACACAACCCAAGCACGTCGGCTGGGTTGCGGTAATTGACTTTGCAACTGTGAGGCAAAATATGCTAGCTAAACCTTACCAGAATAGGTTTAAACTCCTTCGTTTTAAATTGTTCTTAGTTCATGGCAGCCACATCCATATGGTCAGTTACCACAATTCACTTGATGTGTGAGAACATGTTAAGCTGTGGCAGAACAATCATGTGTCTGAATCCTTGTTTAGAATCAAGCAGTGTTTGTAAGAGGTGGGTGGAGAGGAAAACTAATCTTGACTGCATTGCTCAATCTGGTGTCTTCTCTCCTCGCCGTTTATAAAGATAACAGGAAAAAAAAAAGAAAAAAAACAAAACACCAAAAAACACTGTGATCTTAGATGAAGAACCAATATTTTATCTGGCATTTTTCAATATGTTCTTGCACTAATTAAATCTTCAGCATAAATTTAGATAAGCTAAGAGATCTCCAGCAATCAGTGCGTACGGCTGATGAGCTAAACAAAGTCAAAGGCATCAGAGCTAGTTTTCCATCTTTCTGTCCTTCCTTCCTATTTACATTACTATGTGGGGAGCTCATAACATGTGGAAAGGGATAAAAAAATTACTGTCAAATGAAGTTAGAAGGCAAATATAAATTTTGTTCATCTAATTGGACATTCTGGCAAAACTGAGATAATTAGAGAACAGATGAGCAGAAGCATTATGCCTAGGATAAGCAGTACCACTGCTGTTATCAGCTGTATAATGAGTTACTCAAAACAATACCAGTAATTTCATGACTTTTCTATTGTGATGCCTTTGCCTTTGTATTATTTCATTTTTTTTTCTGTTCATTTGTGCTTCTGTTGAAGTTCTAGAAGCATTTGGTTTTGCTGGAATTGAAAAATGATAGCAACTGAAATGACAGTCAGCAAATGAGAGTAGGTGTGTCCTGCATCAGTACAGCTGTGCCCTTTTCAGGCAGATCACTAATTTTGAAGGGGGGGTGATGCATGCAGTCAAATAATTCCCTGAACTATAATGACCATAAATGGAGACTTGTTATGGTCTTAGTCGTAGCTTCACCAGATGAAGAGAAGGAAGGCTGCTGTGACAGCAAGATACTTATTGGAAGACTGAGTGAGTGCCATTAAATGGCACGTGAATTCCTTTGTGCCGGCAATTTTACTTCAGTTTTCCAATTACTCTCATTTGTTGCTTGTACAAAAAAAATACCCCACACCTTCTGTTGTATTCTTTTACTTGTAAATGCCCATACTCAGATATCAATAGTAAAGACTTTACATGGTGCTTGAATATTTCTAGTTTGTTAGAATGTAAATGATATTTTGAATATTGGAAGACCCATTTTTCCTTCTGAAAGCAGGTGACACCGTTCACACGCCAACTGAATTGTGGATTATGCCAAAAAAAGATTGGTTTATGTAATATTTATTGAATGCACATAAAACCCTAATGTCAGCTGGCATACAAAATGCACTGTATTGTATAAAACTTGTGTGTGTGTGTGTGTGTGAATGGTGGCATGCTGATGCCATTGTGTTGAGTTAATGCACTACTTGTATTTTCTTTTTTTTTTCCTTAATGACCGAGCTTTTCCTCAACCATGCTACTAGAGTGGTAGAGTTTGTAACTGACTTGGACATTCAGATATTCAAAATGATTTCACTGTTCACTGAAATTTTATAAAGCTTATTTTATATTTACTGTGCTATTAAGATGAATTCCCTTTAACTATAGGATACTACTGTAGTTCTTTAAAAATCTGTTTAGAGTGGGGCTTGTGGAAAATGATTCAGGACATAGTAAACCAAAAGAAATCCTGAACTTTGGATTTACTTTTAATTTGATGTAATTATTAGTCTTGTTTGGGTGAAGAAGAAAGGGGTGGGAAGTCAAGCAAAAAGGAAGTACTTTGTAAAATGTAGTCTTAGATCAGACTGAGTTGTGTATCTGTGTGTCTGTGGTATGTGTGTGTGTTTCCCTTGAAAAATGGGAGGTGTGGTGAAAAGGTGTAATAATTCTTAAAAGAGCTGGTCTCAGTACTTTCTGATTATGATATGCTACTAAATCACATTTTTTTAAAAGAACTTTTCTTTCAGTTATTTTATCTGTCCCAATTATACATCTCTCATTTAAATTTCTAAATACTATTAATATTGATTGTAAAACCCCTTGAAACTGAAATAAAAGAATACTTGACTTGAAATGCGGACAAACCGAAATAAACCCAATAAAGAATGTTTTAAAAAAAGAATGTGAGAATATTAAATATGTTTAAAACAAGCTTGTCATCAGCATGGTAGTTTTTGTTTCAGAATTCAGTGGTATACCCTAGAATGTGAAAATCACTATCCTGACAAGAAGTGGACAGCTGGACATAAACAATTCATCAGCTTGTTTGGTACCACAGAATTACGTGCTCTCTCCTACAGTGACTCTAAATCCCACAAGGAAAGAAGACCTGCACAGATATCACATCTCGTAGTCAGTACTGTCTCTATGTGCTGCTGCATTTGTTTCGTTTCAAACTGTCAGTATGATACGAAGCTAGCCACGACTGAATTTTGCCAGATTTCTTTCAGTTTGGGGCTTTCGTTGCTGTTTATGTCCATAAATATTAATGCGGATATTTTTCTTGGGTTTGAATAATCAGAAATCAGTGGACTTAATGCAATATTATAATCCTGGATTTTTAATATCTTTGAAACCAATTTAAAAAAACCAGACAAACAACTGTGTTCTTGGAACTTATTTATTTATGGTGGCACCAGTGTATCTAATCCATGTTTCCTGCTGTGTGAAACTCTGTTAAATTTTTTTCATTAAAAAAAAGAAGACACGAGCTTGTTTAATCCTGTATATATGGTGTCTACATTCTAGATTTGTGTATGCTGTGAATGAACTTATTACTAAGAGATGAAATTGTATAAAAGCATTCAGAGGCTATGCATGCATGGTACCTCCAGAAAGTGCATACTCCGAGTTGCAGATTCCTGCAAAAATAAATTAATAAAACTAAGCAAACATCACATCCTGCATTTGTTCTTATATGTAGTAGGAAATGCTCAAAAAGTACAGCCTTTGTGTTTTCGTAGTCCTGGTTGTTTCTGGACTCAGACTTGAACCCATAACTGTAGCAAATTCATTTCAGCGCCTTTTGGGGTTTTCTTTTTTGGTGATCGATACCCTTCTCGTGAGGCAATTGTTGAATATTGATCTGGGTTCCCAATCCTGTTCCTGTGAATGTGGACAGCCCGGACGAGCCGGCGTCACACGAGGGATATTCTGTGTAGCTTCTGATGTAGAAACAGGATGTAGGATGTTCAGAGCGTGAAGCCGAGCTCGTCATTTATTTTACTTCTGAATGGAAAGTTGTTGTTAAAGGAGTTGTTAAAGGAGTAGCCTGCTCCAGCAGGCGATCTTCTGTTGGTCGCCTTCACTGCAGGCATTCAATCTCCTAGGTGGTATCGAGTATCTGGACTGTGAAAGTCCATCTTCTGCTGTAACCTCCTGCTCTGGGAGAGGGTGGAGAATTTGGGATGTATAAATCAGTGTGCAGGCCGGTTCTTTGCGCTGGTGGGTCTTTTCAGCTGTCTCGGTTCTATCAGCTCGCCAGAATCTAAACCTTGAAATCTGTAGCTGTGCTACAGCTGTGCTCTGTTGACCTACAGTTTCAGTCATTAAATGTTCTCGTTGAACAAACCTACCACAACTTTGGGTTTGAACTTTTTGTCTGTGGAAGTGGAAGAATTTAATTTTGTATTCTTTTTGCTAAATTCAGTTTATAAACATTTCAGGATGTGTTTGTGTTTAAAATACAAATGTGTTTAAAATACAAACATACAATATGTTTGCATTTAAAATACAAACGTATTGAGCATTTGATTCTTTCGTTTTAGAAATCACCGCAACTGAAACTTTTAAAAGTTTAGAATTTTTTTGGAAAAAGTTTCAAAGCTTTAAAAAGTTTAAAAATGTTAAAGTACCTGTAAAATATGCTAATGGAGAACATACAAAGCCTAAAGCCAGTAGGTCTAGCAACTGACAGTGGCCACTTTTTTGTTGTTGTTGTTCTTGTTCCCTTGAT